CTGGGGGAGGCAGGACCTTTGCCCCTGGTGTGGCCCAGATTTAATCCTTACCTCCTTTCCTCCTCCAAAAACTTGTGCTTAGCTCTGTAGGTGCTGGGGCTACACCTGCTGAATATGGTGAGTAAGAAAGCCCAGGCCTGCCCTCAGGGGGCTGTCTGTCTCCCTGCAGAGTCAGCCAGAGGAGGTTGTGTTAAGAAGAGATGGTGCTGTTCATTCTGCACAGACAAGGCAGAGTCAGGGAAGGCTTCTCAGAAGAGGTAACAGAGGGGCACGGTCTTATGATGAGTGAAGGTGTCTTAGTTCAGGCTGCTATAACAAAAATGTCATAGATTGGGCAATTTATGAACAATGAACATTTATTTCTCACAGTTCTGGAGGCTGGGAAGTCCAAGGTTAAGGAGGCAGTAAAGTCAGTGTCTGTATCGCTTTCTTTTTTACAGACGGCGCCTTCTCACTGCGTCCTCACACGGCGGAAGGGTCGCACAAGCTCCCGTAAACTTCTTTTACAAGGACACCAATCCCATTTGTGAGAGCTTCACCCTTGTGACCTAGTCACCTCCCCAAAGGCCTACTTTTTAATACCATTGCACTGGGGACTAGGTTCCCATGCAGAAATTTAGGGGCCACAAACACTCAGATCACAGCAGAAGGGAAGGCAAGCAGTTCGATTCAGGAAACTAAAGGGACCAGAGGATATGAACAGAGCTGCACACGTGGGAGGGAAGGCTTTCTATTCAGAAACCAAGGGCTGGCAAATTGCAGCCTTGAGTCACCTCCGGCCTGAGCCCATTTGTGTATGGTTTGCAAGCTGAGAACAGTTTTTACAACCAACATTTGCAATTGATTTGAAGATAGGAAACACTATCAAAATGTTAAACAAAATATTCTCTTAAAAAATTCATTTTTCTCATGTGCAGAACTGCATGGTAAAAATCATTATACCCAACCATTCCATTTTTAATTTCATCAGTAAAAATTTTGAGAAAAAATTTTTTTCCCTCCTATTGTATTTCTGTCTCATACCCTTGATTTTGCCTCTTAGCCTGCAAAACTTAAACTATGTACTAGCTGTGGCTTTTTACAGAAAAAGTATGCCACTCCCATCTTAAAACTTGGGAAGAGAAGAAATATTTCTATTCACCGAGTGCCTCCGGCACTCCCAGGAAGGTACCAGCACTTTTAGACGCACTGCTATTTTTTAAATCTTGATCGTGACTTTGCAAATTTCACAAACAATGAAAGGAGGCCCTGCGAAGTCAAACAGCCTTCCAAAGTCAGAAGACAGAAGTTTACAGAAGTGGGATTTGAACCCCCATCTTCTTGCTCCAGAGCCAAGTTTCTGTCGACAACTCTCCTCTGTTAGATCACCAAGGGTCACCACCAGGTAATTTTAAGACAGGCAGATAAGGAGTGTCACTATCCTTCCACTCATTCCATTGATTCTGTTCCTAAAATCTTAAGACAGCCATTCCAACTAAAATCCCCCAGGCTGCTCTTAGGTCTACAGCTGCTCTCTTGAACTGGGGGATTGCCAGTTTAGATTTCAGCATCATTTTCTGAGTTCTCTGCATAGGCCCTTGTGAGTTCTAAAATTCCCTCCTCCACCACGAAGGCGGCTAAGGGTCTCTGCGGGGTGCAGAGGGTCAAAGACGTAGCCTTTACAAGCAAGCAAACCCTGGCCCTGGCTCCCCACCCAGGCTGCTCCTTGCTGACCCTGGGGAGGAAAATGACCCACCCGACTGAGAACAGAGCTCTCTGCAGTACTAGACACGCTGCTGCCGCAGCTCTTGCAGCAGTGTGAGTGAGATGGAATAAATTTTAGAAAACTTAATGGAAAAGGAGAAAACACCCACATTAAGAAAAGAAAGCCGAGTGCCCTAGCGTGCCTCCGGACGTGGGCTGTGGTGGTGATAGTCATCTTTATTAACTTTCCATCCTGGACTGATCTCCAGTGACGGTACAATTATCATAGCCAGGCAATCGATACTTCATTAATGGTAAGGCTCCAGAGGAGGAGGAGAGCAAACCAGGGTCTTTCTGAAATGCATTCCCCTCTTTTTAGATCTCTTACTTGTATAGAGAGAAACAGCACACACTTGCCTCTGACACACAAACACAGACTTCCAGAGTTGAGGGAATCTCATTCCTGAATGCGATTGTCAGCTCTGCAAGCCATATGCCCTTGTCTTTCCCTGATGAAGGTCCCCCATGAACGGAGACATTTAGAACTTTCCCATTTCTCTCTGATGTCAGAGATGTTTTAACCAGCTGGGGGCAGAATTACATTCTGGAAATTATAGGGGATGAGAGGAAAAAAAAAAGGAATATTACAAATACAGTAGTCTTTCGGATTCTGATCTTCACTATTAATGCATTATAAAACAACTTAAAAAATCCTATCAGGAGAAGTGATGTTTGAAGCCACGATATATTTTAAAAGTGTCAGGACATGGGCAAGTTTACATCTGACAAGCAATTTAAATATTTCAATATATTTTATATCTTTAAAAAAAATTGCCAGGATCAAAACCTAGATGAAACTCTTTCATTTGGTACCTGGGCAGGAAAACATTGAGTTACAAATCTTTTTGACAATGTGGATTCTGGGTGTTACATAACCATTTTTAATCTTCTGAAATTTTTCATTGCCTGGGAAAGCAAATCAGGGACTGGTATTGTGTGCTTTTAAATTCATTTGTCTTAACACCCTTTCACTTTCTTGTTCTGCTCTCATGGTCTGATTACTTCTCTACATAAATATAAGCCTGAATTCATTCTGGGTATAAGCCTTATCTCTTTCCTCAGTGGTGATATGGGATGCAGAGGCCCCCTCTCTTTTTATCCTCCTGTGCTTTAAAGTGAATTTAGTAGTGAATGGTGTCTGCTGTTTCAGAAAAGCCCGTTTATTTCACCCTATAATCAGAACAGCACAGACAACGGAGTCCAGCACTTCCTCATTCCAGGTTCAGACACAGGGATGATTTACTGAGCATCTACTATGAACTGGACACCCTGTTAGGCATGGCCCTGCCAGGAGGCGCAAGGCACACACCGCTGTCCCTTACAGCTCGCCTGTGTTAGCTGGCTTAAGCCTGTTTGTTGCCTGCGTGCACAAGGACAATTAACTTGATCCCACTGCACTCAGCAAGGGAGTGGGGAGTCAGACTCCAGGTTGTCTGAATTCAGCTCTTCCTTGCTGAAGACTTGGTCAAGGGGCAATGAGGGGGAGTAGGGAGGAAAAGTCACATCAGGCCATGGTAATGATGAGATCTGCGGTCCCTGGATCGGGGGAGGTGAGTGAGTCATATGTTCTGAATTCTCCTTGGGCTCATCACCAGGTTGGTGGCAGTGGTGGCAGGGCTGCCGGACGTGCTAGATGGGCTCCTGGGTCATTCTAGATTGCCGTGGAAAACCTTCCCCTACTGATATTTTATCTCTTCCAAAATTCCTTTTGCACATTATTTCCCTGTCTTTTCTTCTTGGCTCTGTCAACCAAACAGTCTCAAAAGCAACAGGAGGTCCCCTGGCCCAGCTTTCCAGTGCCGTGAAGGAGAAAGAAAGCCCCCAGAAGGACTTGAGCTCCATGGAAGTGCAACTCCACAAAAAGCTCCCCTGGAGTGTCTTGGCCAGAAAACGTCCAAAACTAGCTCTGGCTGAGCTGGAGACGGAGAGACGCCCCATGGACAGAAAGCCATGCCTTCTAGTTGCAGAGACGCACCCTGGGGAGCAGAAATGTTCCATCTGGAGACAGCTCAGAAGGTAGGGTGGCCGAGTTTAGCAAAGAAAGATAGAGGACGCCTAGTTAATTTAGAATTTCAGATCGTTGACAAATAATGGGATATTTGGGACATACTAAAAACATTATTTGTGTGTACCTGAAATTCAAATGTAACTGGGCCTCCTGAATGTGACCTGGTAGCCCTATCAGAAGGGCATGTCTGCTTCACCTGCCGTGTCCTAACTGGTCTCTGTTCTGGTGCAAAGAAGCTAACTCAACCCTTCTATTTATTTATTTATTTATTTATTTATTTATTTAAATTTTTGAGACAGAGTCTTGCCCTGTTGCCAGGCTGGAGTGCAGTGGCACCATCTCAGCTCACCACAACCTCCACCTCCCAGGTTCGAGCAATCCTCCTGCCTCAGCCTCCTGAGTAGCTGGGACTACAGGGATGCACCACCACACCCGGCTAATTTTTGTGTTTTTAGTAGAGACGGAGTTTCACCATGTTGCCCAGGATGCTCTCTTGACCTTGTGATCTGCCTGCCTCAGCCTCCCAAAGTGCTGCGGTTACAGGCATGAGCCACCATGCCTGGTTATATTTATTGATTTAATTTTCTTTTTAATGGTGGAAGAATCTATTTTAATTGGAAGGTGTGGCTTGATGGGGAGCTTTCCTTACCTCTTCCAACTCTCTCAGCACTGTAGCCCCCAGGCCACCCCAGAAAAATATGTAAGAGTACACTGTGTGTTGATTCAGGGCTTCAGCTTTAAAACCAGGCCCCCAAGCCTCTCTTCCAAGCAGATAGGCACCCCAAGCCCCTCCCATGTAGGAATTCTGGAGACTTACTGGCTTTCATCAAATGTGCTTTAGTCTCACTCAGACCAGTTAATCCCATTTGAATACAAGGCCACTGTGGTGACTGTGGCCACTTATAGCAGACACCGCTGGTGGCAGAATCATCTTTATGAAAGGCCATGCTGATGACGTCATCCATCTGCTTGCAAACCCTCGCCAGGAGATGATGTTGCTGTCATGAGGAATGACTCACCTGGCAACCTCTCATTGTTCTTTAGGTCTCAGCTGAGATGTCCTTTCCTCTAGGAAGGCTTTCTTCATCCTAACCACCTCAACCCACCTCTCCGCAGAAAGCCCAGGGTCAGCAGCCCTCCTGTGCACCCTCAGGGCACCTTAGAACGTCCCATCAAAGCTTCCGTCACCCTGTGTTATAATCTCACAATTGGCCTGTCTGAAATCTTTTCCTAGACTTTCAGTTCCTCCAGAGCAGGGGACCCCTCTTGTCCTTCACTGTGTCCCGGCACCTAGCAGAGGCTGATTCAGAGCAGATGACTGACCACCAACCAGCGAATGGGCCAATGGAAGAATCAATGAATGAATGTATTCAAGAGAGTTTCAGTGACTCAGTAAGACATTTTTGACATAATATTCCACAAAAGTTTTCAGACTCTACATTGTACATACAGAATGGCTTGTATGCAATAATATATACATACTTTAAAAATTACTGAGTAAAGGGAAGGATCTTATTGCAGAAGCAAGAAAAAGCAACACTGGTCCCACACTTACGAGGCCAGAGCCATAAAGTTGAATGCATGTAGCAGCTGGGGCCTTTTACGAGATTTCTGAGGCAGTCAAGTTCAACTGCTAAAGATTACAGGGTTAACTCACGGATGAGTTTCTAGAAATGGTGCCCCCATTCTTTTTCCTCTGAGGCTTTCTTTATTTAGGGTAGATGCCAAGTACACAAAATAAAACGGGCCATAGGAGTGTAAGTTTCTTCTTCCTCCTATGTCTGGTCCCCCAAGAACAGTCATGTGCTAAGTGTGTGGTAGAGGTTACCGCACAGCTGGGGTCTGCAGAACACCATGAGGCATGCCTGTAACCTTCAGGATTGCAGCTTCCCCTTTGTCACCTCTTCCAAGTGTCGAGAGCACAGAGGCCTCAGAGACATGGAATCTGAATGCCACACAGAGCCCGTTGCTGACTGCAGGAACGCCCAGTAGGTCAGCATCCCCTGCTGTCAGTCTGCAAAGGGTCAGGCTGTGTCCCAAATAGGAGCTGCAGGGTAGACTGGAAGAGCCCTGGGCAATGGCACTGGGGGCTTTTGTTTTGTGTGGCTTCAGTTCCTCAGGGGCTACGTGACCTTGAAGGTCTCTCATCTTCATTAAAAAAAGAAAAAAAATAATAAAACACAAGGAAGTTAAACCAGAGGACACCTCTGAGACATTGAAGAATAATCATAACAAGGATAAGGAGGGAGCATCATTTATTGAGCACCTACTGTGTGCCAGGAGTTTCATGCACGTTGTCCCGTTGCATCCTCACAATTGCACTGTGGGTCTCTTTTTCCCCATTTTTGCTGAAACTTGCGGCTCCCCTGTCCAGAAATACACCGATGCTTTCACAACAGTAAAGCTAAGGTGGAACTTTGCTGTACTGGCGAAGAGCCTTGTTTGGTCACGAGCAAGGGAACTCAGTTGTGTTCCTCTGATTGCACTTCAGGTCACTTAGTCCCTAAATGTACGACCGAAAAAACACTAACTGGTAACTGATCAAATTATCCTGTTAGGACGATGGATGGTTATAACAGCAGCAGGGAAAATAACCCCAGTGTTGAACAATGTAATTATATGTGGGTTACAGTCAATATTAAGTCACCTCGTAATCATGTAAAATTTATATTTTGGTACTTGAACTATTTTTCTCTAAGGATTTAGTTGCTGGGTGTTTATGTCTAATACAGGAAGGAAAATACCCCACAAAGATGGTGATGAGGTTTCAAGAGAAGGGCAGGGCTTGAGAGATTCCCAAGCCCTCTGTGGTCAACACCTTTGTCCCTTTTAAACACCAAAGATTTATTTACTTATTGTTGGCACAAATAATCCTGTCTTTGGCTTGAAGATACATACATGGAGTCAGAACTTTCTGCTGGACAAGACAGAGGTGGACAACTTAAGGTTGGAGTCTGTTTTTTTTTTTTTTTTCTGTAAGTGCAGGAAAGGCAGCATAGAAAGGTTAAAAGGCTCACACAAGGTCCCAGAAAGGGCTGGCGATCAGACTTAGGGCTGCAGTCCAGCCTTCTGGATCCGTCCTAAAGAGATTTTCCTGTAAGAAAACCTTGTGTCTGCCGAAGCCCACTGCTACAGCTGGACATTAGAATGGGCCTGCTTTCATCCTAGCCGGATCCCCAGAGTGTTCTAAGCCCTTACACACCTTGGTGACTTTCTACTCACTTCTGCCTGGCACGAGTTATTGCATTTCTCAAGCCTCGGTTCACGTTTTGCCTCTCTGAAATTTATTCTTCCTCCTGTGTCTAGTTCCCTGACTTTAGGGTCTAGAAGACAATCTGACATTTAAGAGTCATTAGTAGCTGTTAGCAGAGGGATAAAAAAATGAATGAATGTACGCAGGATAAACACGAGGATCCCAGGAAATTCCCATATGTGGACACATCCCTTTCCTCCCACACACTGCTTTAAATGTCATGTCTCTTAACTTTAATTTAAGGTTCCTACGAGCCATATGATACTATTTCTATGTTTCCTGTGAAACACCGAACTTGAGATATTTCATTCAGAGTTTAGAACTAGGAAAGTCTGTCTCCCCTGGGGAGCTGTCATGGTTTATTGCTTTCGGACAATCCAAGTTATTTAACATTGAGTTTCCCTCATTGCTTTGGCCACTTGGAAGCTCATAGCCTGGTTCTAAACTCAGTCACAGCAACTGTGCTGACCCTTGTGTGTTTTCTTATTTCTAGTCCCATTTTATTAATGATATTTTACGTTGGCTCTTTAAGTCGCCTCAAATTCTTTTTTTTAAAGATTGAAAGATGCAGAGTATAAATACATCTGATGAGTACATTTTAAAAATAACATCACAGAGGAATAACACTCTGTGCTATTTCAGGATTCATGATCTAGGTTACGGATTATCTGAGCTTCCGGAGTCTCCTGATTATCACTAATGAGGAGACTGAGTCTTTCTATCTGAAACCATTTTGCTGCCCTCTCTGCCCCTGCTTGGCGAAGGTTTGCTAAACAGACTTGCCAGATAACTGCAGCTTTCCAGAGCTCTTTCTTTAGTGCTGAGAGCTACACAAGAGGTGGATGGCAAAGGAAAGGAATTGAGGTAAAAATGCAAGCACCGATTGCCACCATTTCCTACTGAGTTTGGTAGAATAATTGGTTACTTACCATTTTATACGAGGCATTTCTCAGTATAACCGCAAATTAGGTCTTTTTTTTTTTTTTTTTTTTTTTTTTTTTTTTGAGACGGAGGTTCGCCCTTGTTGCCCAGGCTGGAGTGCAATGGCGCGATCTCGGCTCACTGCAACCTCCGCCTCCTGGGTTCAGGCAATTCTCCTGCCTCAGCCTCCTGAGTAGCTGGGATTACAGGCATGCGCCACCATGCCCAACTAATTTTTTGTATTTTTAGTAGAGACGGGGTTTCACCATGTTGACCAGGGTGGTCTCGATCTCTTGACCTCGTGATCCACCCGCCTCGGCCTCCCAAAGTGCTGGGATTACAGGCGTGAGCCACCGCGCCCGGCCAAATTAGGTCTTAAGCTTCTCCTCTTCCACCATTTCCCCTGCTCCTTCCATCCCCCACACATCAGTCATATAAAACTCCTCTGTTCTTCAAACGTGAAATGCCTTTTTCTCCACTTCTCATCCAGGCCAACTGCTGCTCATCCTTTACAACTCCAGTGAAATGACTTCTCTTTCTGAGAAGCCATTCTTGATCTCTCCACACCCAAATATGTTAATTTACTCTTTATTATTCTTTTTCAGTATACCGTGGAATCAATAGTTGCATATACTTCACTGGTGCAACGAGCCCATTGTACTGTGGTGAGTGACACATTTTACTTGGAGGAGTAGTTTCAAGTCCAAGCTTCCCAGGCTTGAAGCTTGGTACTGCCACTTAGTAGTCACATGATTTTGGGTAGAGTGCTGAATATCGGCCCCTTAGTTTCTGCATCTGCAAAATGCGATAACAAAAGTAACCCCTGCGTAAAAGGATGGCAAAGTAAACACATTTAGTGTTTAGTACATTACGTGGCATGTAACAAGCTCTGCGCAAATGTTAGCTCTGTTTTTAATCACTTGTCTTTCCCTTGACTCATTAGGATGGGGTCTCCATTATGTTTACGCCAGATTCTCCTGTCTTTTCCTAAGGACACTTAGTAAACTTTTAGCCAATGATTGTGGAATGAATAATTGAATGAGAGAGTTGGATTATGTGAAGAGTGATTCTCTCTCCCAGGGAATTTTGTTTATTTTAGGACTAAGTCCTTATGCTTTCCTTTCAGTAACAAAATATAGCATCCATCCCACCCCCAGACCCTGGAGGAGAGGCCTTTTTGAAGATGAAGGAGCTGCTCAAGCCTCTGCACAGATGCCTTCCGTCCTTCTGAGTCCTCTCTTCCCACCTGAGGGCAAGGTGGTGGGGTGTACCTCACTACCCAGATCCAACTTGATGTACTGCTGACAAAATAATTATCCCTCAGCCTAGCAAATGCTGAGATCTCTGGGAAAACAGAGCTTCAATTACTGGGAAAAGCAGTGGACTCCCATTAGGCTTGTTGGGAGGAAGAGGGACACAGAATTGGCATGGGGTTTGAGCAGCAAGAGAGACTGGCAGATTTTCAACACCGCTTCCCCACCAGGCCTCCTCCCCAGACAGAGTTTGGCTGGACTGGGGACCCTGAGGCCACAGGCCTCAGGAGCCAGCCACACCTGCACAGTGTTTACTGAGCTGGGTGTCAGACTCACCCCGGATGAGGCCCTGGTCAGAGGTGAGGAGGAAAGCCGGACAGCTCAGAGATGACTACCAGCAACCATGGGAAGTACACACCCCAGTCAGCGTGCACCGTGGGGATGAATGCTGGGAACACCGAGCAGACAGGCTTGTTCCTGTGCTAGGGTGTAGGGAAGACTTCCTGGAGGAGGTGATGTATGTCCTGCTCCCAGGAGTGAATAGGACATGGCCTAGTCAGGTCAACCTACACGTTTTGAGCACCTGGATAAACCAATTTAAGAAAACCTTTCCACATGTTTCTGAAATTTCCTGTGGGTGGCCTCCTCCTTGTGATTCTACCGAGGCAGGCAGGCTTCTGGCCTTGCCTAGGTTGGGAATGGGTGAAAACTCTGAGGAAAGGAAAAGCCATTGCTAACTGATACTTGGCACAAGCTCATCTGTGTCTTTTATTTTTTATAATCTACTATTTATATTAATTATAACATCAGGGTCACTCCATGATGTGCACCCCCTAATGCTGTTCCCCATTCAATGACCACAATCAAAACAGCACTAATTCCTCTTAAGTATCTTGAAAAACATTAAAAAAAAAGCACTTTCCCTTCACATGATGCCCTCTACCACTCCTTGCAATAAGATCCTTAACATAGAACTGCCTTGGGTTGAAGAGGTTTTTTCTTTTAAATTCAGGATTATAAATTGTGACTTAAAATTATTGCGATAAGAGGCCCCATAACCATTGTTAAAATGATGGTGTTTGAAGAGATGTCCACACTATGTGTATTTCACAGCTGGAATAGATCTCTTTGGGGAGCATGCCTCCTCCCTGGTGTTTGGCAAAGTACAATTGAATTAGTGAAAGTGTAATAAAGTGTGGGGAAATGTCGAGATGTAAGAATCGAAAATAAAATAAAGATAATTTAATCATTAAAGTTGGCACTGGTTTTTAGGACATTCATTGCTATGGAGATGTTAGAGTAGATTCCAGCTTGCATTTTAATGGTGAACTTAAATAAATCTGAGTCCTGGAGAGAAACTGCTAGTGTATGGAATCTGAGCTAATCAGTGAAATAGCTCTGACTTGGAGTTAAAGCCAGGTAGTCGCTTGCAGAGAAGAAGCTGAATAATCCAAGCCCTGTCTGGTTTTTGAATTTATTTTCAAGTTTTTTGATTTTTGGAGTCAAGCCCAAACTCTTTAACCAGGCATATGGGGCCTGCCATATTCAGGAACCCACTTTCTTTCCAAATTCCTGTGGCCTGGACCAACTCTGCCCTTGGCTTCATATGACCTGGCCCACGTCTCCTTCAGGGCCCTTCTCCATAGCCCCTGTCTTTTGGTAACCCCTGTGCTCTCCTTGAACTACTACAGGGAGTGGTTCCATGCACTGAGGAGGAGTGTGGAATCTGGAGTCAGGCTGTCTTGGTTCAAACCCCAGTTCTGATGTTTCTGAGACTCAGTTTCTTTGTCTGTAAAATGGGGTTAATAATAAAACCTGACTTTAGGGTAAGTACTTATGTAAGGTGCCCGTGCTCACCCGGTGCCTAGCAGCCACTCAGTGCTCACTATAGATTTCACTGGCACTCATTCCATCCTGCCTCATAGGAAGATAACCACTGATGTACATGGCTTCTCTTCCCACTGGAGTTCAGCTGCCTCATTGAAGGAAAAAATGACTTATCTAAGTTTACAAATAGTAGATGTTCAATAAGTGTGCTTAATGAATAAATATATGTCTCATAGCAGCGTATCTGTAGCTGAGGAAAGTAGAAGGTTCTCTCTATATGATAACATAGAAGGCGAATTATTCTATTTCTGTCACACTTCTCTAATAGGGAGGGCATTTAGTGTCCTTGGGTGCTTGGCACTGAGCTAAGTGCTTTTCAAAGAATCCTATGAGATAAGCACTCTTATTAACACCCCATATACTGGTTCATTCATGAGAGTAATGCTAGAAAAGACCGCAAAAAGATATTTTCAAGTCACCTAACAGTTTCATGTGGGTATCTGTGCCCAGGAACAGCTTCCTCCACACCGTGATTCAGGGACTCAGGCTTCTCCCACCGCGTGACTCCATCAGAAAGGTGAGAGTGGGCAGGCGAGACCAACCGTGTTTTGTGAAAGCTTGCACTGGAATCAACAAAGATCAGTGAGGAAAATCATGACCACACCTTGAAGCCTGGGCAGGTGGGTGCTGGGAAATGTGGTCTGGGGTTGAACAGCTCCCTTAGTGCTGCGTAGGCACTGGCTTCTGCCAGGGATCAAGAGCTGACTCCGCATTTCTGTCCAGCACCATGCCCAAGGATGTTATGGGAAGCTAAACGCCAGCTGTGGTGAGAGTAGATACACCACAGCATTTAACAAAGACTACGTACACATCAGGGCTTTTGTTTTGTTTGTGTTCAGTGAGCTGGTTTACCAGCACCTTCCCAGTGCCAATGTACCTCTAAGAAAGGGAGAACATGAATTTTGAAAGACACTGGTTGTCTTTGCTAGGTACAAAAACAGCCCCATTTTAAGGATGATGAGAGGGAGGCTCAGTCATGCCAGCTAACTACCTTTCTCTGAGACTGCAGAGCTAATGAGAGTTGAGTAGAGACAAGCTTCTGACTCTAGCTCTTACTGCCCTGCCATCTGGCCTCCCAAACCCAGAACATTTACTTGCAAGATTATTAGCAATTCTATTTTTAATGTACACACATGTTTACCCTCCCCCAAACTATTTCAGAACGATAGGGGGAAAGAGGATAATTTCTTTTTTCTGTAACGAGAGGTTTGATTACAATTGAAGCCACTTTCTTTCCCCTTTTCTCATTATTAAAAATAAATTTTTCTTTCTTTGTCTGCGAATTGCTATAGGAAACATTATTGAATAGGATCCCGCAGCTATGAGCATTGTTCCATAGCTATGAAGGCCCAAACAGCATTTTTTTTCTCTCCCTGAAACTGTGGTGGCTGACTATTTTTTACTGAGTATTTTCCTAGTAAATCTCACTGCTAAATTGGCCACTTTATTCATGATGATTTCTTCAAATATATCATTCTTGTGGCACAATATGAATAATGAAGAGGAATATTTTCAAACACATAAAAGGCTCTGAATAAAACTAATGGGTGAGGCATTAAGCAAAGTCGATTGGGGCTTGAACAGTCCTCGGCATGCCTTATAAGGAGACTGGGGGTTGCACACACCAGGGACCAGGGACTCTCAGCCCCTGGAGTTCCTTGACCTTCACTCAGGAGTCAGGGCTGGCCTGAGGGTCTGTGTCAAGTGGAGTTGGCTCTCTCAGCCTTCACACAGCTATCAGTGCACCTCTACTTAGCTTCTCCCTGAGAGGAAGGATGGTGCCCAGGTTAGAGACTTGGGCGAGTGAGCCAACCACCAGGATTCGAATCCAGACCAACTGCCCCTGTCTGCAACGCTTTAAGGAAGCCGATGTAACCCTCTGAAGATCTGTCTCCTCATCTTGAAAATGGGGATAATCATAGCTGTGAGAGGGCACACCTGCGAGTCAAGACCGTGAAATGCTTGCAACCCTGCCGGCAGGTACACACGCTCTGTATCACTGCAGTGATTATTACTGTTATTACTCCCATCATTGCTATAATCCACTGTGTGTTGGGTGGTCCTGGGGCAAATATAGGGAGGCACTTTGACCCCCTAAGTATTACCCTGTATGGGGCAAATTGTTGTTGTGGCTGGTGCTTCAAATTGCCAACATTTAAAAAGGCAGATCACATAGGAAAAAGATCTACTGACTTCTCTTGGGGAAAAAAATAAGTTTGCCACTGTTCTCACCTCTCTGAGGCCCTCTACATCTGACCTGCTTTACTGTGCCTGGCTGTGTAGACGTGTGAATTTGTGGTTGTGTTAGTCCATTCTCACATTGGTATAAGGAAATATCCGAGACTGGGTAATTCATAAAGGAAGGAGGTTTAATTGACTCACAGTTCTGCCTTGCTGGGGAGGCCTCAGGAAACTTACAATCATGGCGGAAGGTAAAGGAAAAGCAGGTACATTCCTCAGAGGGCAGCAGGATGGAGTGAGAACAAGCAGGAGAAATGCCAGACACATATAATCACCAGATCTCATGGGACTCACTCACTATCACTAGAACAGCATGGGGGACTCAATTACATCCCACTGGATCCCTCCCATGACATGTGGGGATTATGAGGATTTCAATTCAAGATAATATTTGAGGACACACCCAAACCATATCAGTGGCTTTTCCTCAAATAATTTCTACAAAATGGATTTGGCTTGGTTCGGGGATCAAAAATCACTGCCGAGACAGGTTGGAGAATGAGAGGCTGAGTCAGGGAGAAGAGCCCAGGGAAGAGGAAGGCAGTGTGATTAGTGGCGTTATTTCTGGTTTTGTGGGGTAAGGCATAAGTTAATTGTCATTGTTGCAGTATTGTCATCACGCCAAAGATTCTGGCTCAGTCTTTGCTTCTCAGGACAAGGGTCCCATTGGATGTCTACCCTAGCCCACCTGGCATGGCATCAGTAGATGTTTCAGAGTAAGGGAATCTATTCAGTATCCCTTATGCCCATTCAGAAACCCAGCAAAGATTTTTTTCAAGCACTTACTATGTGCTGGACACAGTGTTAGCTTCTCTAACATTATCTTATCTAATTAAAAATGTTTTTCATAGCCTTTAGCTGATGCTATTTTATAGGATACATTTGTTATTTGCATAGGGTGTCTCCCTTCCCAGTTTTTCAGGACAGGGGCTCATTTTCTTTGCTGCTATATTCCCCAGTGCCTAGTAAGGTGTCTGGAATCAGGCTGATACCCAGGAGAACTTCTTGAACAAATGAATGAATAAATATGTTCTCTCACACTATTTCAGATAGGTGTTAATCTCTGTATTACCAGGTTAGGAATAGAAGTTCAAAAAGGAAATGCAGAGCACAGGGGTTAGAAGCACGGACTGCAGAGTCAGGTGGAGCTGGGAGGTTTTATTTTATTTCACTTACTCTTTTCCTCTCCAAGCCTCATTCTTATACTGAAAAATAAGAATCATAATAAACCTACCATACATGGTAGTTTTGTAAGAATTAAATTAAGTCAGAAAATAACTTTGCTCAGTGTCTGGCATGTCGGGAAATATTCAATAATTTGCAGCCAAAATTATAACAAAGAGGTAGGATCAGGTTGAATGTAATCTCTGTTCTCTGACTTTTTCCCCAAACACTAAGGGTCTATTCTAGACAATGGTGATGAAGGAAGCAGGATGTGGCTTCAGGGACAGTCATCTCCCCTTTAAGGGTAGTGTGGGCTCATGCATGTTAACTGAACATGTACTGTGAGCCAAGCCTGCAAGACCTGCAGTCAAATATAGGAATGTGGCCCAGCCCCTGCTTTCAACTTTGCTCTCAGGCTCATGGGAGAAACTGATAGTTCAGAGAATTGGACTGTATGAGCTTCCTGTTGCTGCTATAACAAATCATCACTTACTTAGTGGCTTGAAACAACATGAATTTATCTCACTGTTCTCTAGGTCAGAAATCCAGACTGTGTTCCTCTCCAGAGGTTCTAGGACAGAATCCATTTATTTGCCTTTTCCAGCTTCTAGAGGCTGCCCATATTCCTTGGCTCATGGCCCCTCATCACTTTTACCTCTGTTTATTTTATTACCTCTTGTTCCTTGATTCTGACACCCCTGCTTCCCTCTGATATGGACCATTGTAATTACATCAGGCCATCTAGATAATCTGGAATCATGTCCCCATCTCAAGATCCTTAACTTCATCACATCTGCAAAGTTCCCTTTGCCATCTAAGTTAACATAGTCACAGATTTGAGGGATTGGGATGTAGACATCTTTGGAGGGGCATTTTCTGCCTACCTGATATGGTTTGGCTGTGTCCCCATCCAAATGTCCTCTTAAATTGTAGTTCCCATAATCCCCACATGTCATGGAAGG